GTAGTGTAAAATTCATTTTCACGTGATTTATTCATCACCTTTTTTCGCTATAATTTGATTGGTAGATCAATCACGCGAAAATAAAAATATAAATATCTTGATATTTAATGAAATATACCGTAGTAAAGATGTTCATCTCACATAATTTCAAAGCCTCCACTACATCCGTGATAGAAAAAGCGTCATCACTTGATTGCCTTGAAGAAACTTTTTCTGAACTTTCAACTTCTTTCACAACTTTTCATCAAAATTTTCAATGTATTAAACAAGTTCACGAGTCTTTAAATGAATTTAATAAAGCTTTTTCTGGGTTTTTATATGGAATTAAAATGAATTCTCATTGTATAGAATTTTCTGAGGTAACTTTTCATTATTCTTATTATTTTATTAAATCATTATTTAATTTTTGTTTATTTATAATCATATCAGGCTCCAACGAAAGAAACATTTGCTAGTTTTATTCAAAGGCGTGATGGTATTTTATAATTCAAAAAAATTTAAAATTTTCTTGATATATTTTATATATTTCTTAATTACATTATATAATTTCAAAAACTCTTGACTCTAGCTGAATTGTTAAAAGAAAATAGATCTACACCAATTGCAACACCTATTCGTAAAATCAAAACTCCAACTCCGATTAGTAAAATCAAAACTCCAGCGCCACTACCTCCAAAGAAGAAAAAAATAAATAAGGCTTTAGTTATTAAAGTATTATGTCACGTGTTTACGCGATATGGTAAACAAAGATTTCAAATTCAAAAGCTGATATATATATATTTTTTATAGAAATTGATTAAGAAAATTGCCGATAGTTTATCATCAAAATATCGTGATCAACACGTAAATATTAAACAGTTTTTTGTTTTATAATTTTTATATTTTATTTAGGATATTAATCTTACAATCAAAAAAATTATTTAAAATAATTTAAAATAGCAAAATCGTAAAAATGTGGAATTGATTCTTAGACTTTTATGTGACAATCCGGCGGAAGGAAAGTAAGTATCCACTTGAAGGCTCAATATTAAACTATAATTTATTTTTCTAAGTTTTTTTTTCACTATTATTAGATACATACAAGATATTGTTAAATGTACTGAACTGCCACGTGGTCGATGTATTGAATACCTTAATGTACTCGTCAATACTGAATACGTAGTAAAATTAAGTCATAAAGGTATTTTATACAAACTAAATCCAGCAAAGATAAACATATAATAAAATATATATGTCAACCAAATTTACTGCTAGACTATATAATCATTTTTATAAATGTTTTTGATTTTGGTTGTGTACTATCTTTTGGATATTTAATGTTTTTTATTAGCTGATGAATTGTTACGTATAACGAATGTATACGATGATCACTTCTAAATTATATTTATAAACAAGATGATGAAACTCTTTTTGATGTAGATCTATATTTTGACAGGTTTTACGTACTCGATTATTTTATAAGTACACAAACTTGAAATTTTAACTTTAAATTTTGGCCTATTTATCGTGAGTTTTATTAGTAAATCCATTATATATATCAAGTATATATATAGTGTATATATATATATATATATATTTATTATGATGTGGATCTGAATCTTGATCCATTATATCGAGATTTTACTTAGTCTCCGTTATATCAAGAGTCCGTTATATCGAGAGTGACGTGTATATAGAAATTATATAGTATTTATACATACAAATAATATAAAATGTACCTATGGTGTTGTTGGTGTTAATTAGGGATGTTATCCTGCTCCAACCGGTTAGCTTGTGCTTAAAAACCCGTTGGAACACTGTTTCAGAGCATTTACATAAAACCGGTTCCTGAACTCAGTTCAAACAAATGTCCTAATAAGCATGCTTGCATGAGCAATTCAATGAAACCTGTTTACCGATATTACTATTTAT